CTTTTTTGGTATGTCAACTTTTGATCAGTATGATACTTTTGATCACAGTATGATACTATACCAATAAATTCCCAAACAAATCTCCGAAAAAAAAAGTTTCTCAAAAATGACTAAAAATACACCCATTTGCCTTAAAATACTTAGCTCTGTCCATTTCATTTTAAGTTTTCTTTATCAAAAGGTTTCATCGAAATTTCTTAACTTCTTAACTTCATAATTAAGTTGCAGCTGAATTACATTTTTGTTGATATTTTACTGCAGTGTATAACCAGACAGGAAGTTTACCTTTATTTCCATCCTCTTACGTCACCAGGCCTTTCGGTGGAGCTGACAACATGTAAATCACGTTCATACTGGTGGAACCGTCTCCAGTGTTGAAGGTGAGCCTCTCGCTGCTCATCTCCAGAAACAGCAGGCGTTAGCTGCTGCTGCTGCTGCTGCTGCTGTTGTCCAGATGTAGTATTTAAGTATCTCGACGTTTTCTGAGGATACTACATAACTCAAAGAACCAAATGGAGCATGTGATGTGGATAAATTCCTCCGTCGTGAGTTCACTCTGCTGCTCCTGCCTGTTGTCCTGCAGAATAATAGAAATAAAATAAATCATCAGGAGACGAAGAGCTGATAAATAACCTGTGAGAATATGCAGTACTGTACGTCACCTCCAGGCCGTGTCATCATTTTCACTTTCACAGGTGTCGACTTTCCAGTATGCTTTGGGGTCGTGACACGGTGCGGTGTCAACAACCGACTTAAATACAGACACACTGTAAACACCTCTGACGTAACAACCAGGATTGGTTCACCTGGATTCCACTGCTGTCGTCACCGCAGATCTCAGCCTATTTCTGCAGCGAAGGTCGGGGCAGCTCGGTCACCGCAAACCTAAAAATCCATGTCACATATCTCTAAACAGGGGGAGACACAGCTGGAGTATTCATTAAAAAAGGAAATACAAAAAACAGGCTGCAACAGGCTGCCATTAGGAGGTGCCAAGTATTCCTCTGAGATTTGTTTTTTTTTTTAACGATTCTTACCGATGTTACATTATGCTAACATCGGCTGATAATATCGGACGGCCGATGTTAGCAGACGTCTATAGAAGTGTATTTAATCAAACAAGTTTTCAACAAAGAGTAAAACAAACAACAAACGACTCAAGTCAGCGTTTGGTCTTCGTTAGTGAGACCTGACCTTTGTCTCGTCACGGCCTCGTTAACGTCTTCACGTCAACTCGACTGCACTCACGGCTGTCATTCAGCTTGTCAACTCATTTAAAGTGGTAACTTAATATGGTCTTAATTAGTTCTTTTAGTCGCACATGTTTATCTCCGACAAACTGAACGGACGTGATCGGCATCAGATTTGAACAGGTTTTTATTTATTTGAGGTTGAAAAGTTGAATTGTATCTAAATTAAATCCAGATTTAATTTGAGATTTTTTTTTCTTTGTAGCTAAAAATAGAGACCAAAACAAATGAACTGTGTTTTACATTTATAAACTTTAATGAATCCGACACTGACGACACAGCCATACGCTTTTACGTCTTTAAAAAAATGTTTAAATACCAAATGATTGTCAAGTCCATTTTTTCTTCTACTGCAAGTTTTTAAAAAACGGAAACTGTGTTAATCTGTTTACAACATAGAAGAAAACAAAAGAGTGGAGGAGGGGGTCAAAGAGGGGGGGGGCGTCAAAACAACAAACAATATTTAAGTATTCCAGTATCTGAGTATTCCAGGGTGCAGGTAATTCTTGCCTTTGTCAAATGACTCAGGCTCAGGCTCCGGATGAGAACGCAGGGAAAAACACGTTACCTTGAACTGTCCGTGAAAATCCCCCCTCTTTGAAGTTGAGGACGAAAAAGAAAACGGTCGTGTCATGTGATGAGAGTCCGAGTGAAAGGACGTCCGTCACGTCCCCACAGACCTTTTTTTTTGAGACATCAAGGCCCAATAAAAGACGCGGTGACCTCTTCACGCCCTCTGACCCCGACACTGTCGCCTATGGCTTCAGCTCAGCAGGTGGGGCTGGTGTCAACCCTGGGGGTTCAAAGGTCAGAATTAGACAAGTGCCATCCTGGCAAATTAGACCAAACTAATTGTTCATCAGTCAACTTTAATTACAGCCAAAACAAAAAGAAAGTCCAGTTCACTCAACACTTGTTCCACAGCGGAACACCAGTAGGGGGGGTGGGTGCCCCCCCCCCTCCTCCACTCCTCCACTCCCCTGTCCCCCAACAATAACAAATGTTTGACAAATGCTTCAGTTCAATTCACAAACACTCCTCCACTCCCCTGTGCCCCAACAATAACAAATGTTCGGCAAATGCTTCAGTTCAATTCACAAATAAGGAAAAGCTCTGCAGCCCCACAGGAGGGGCCCGCCCCCCACTTTGGGAACCAATTAAACTAACTTAAAAGATGAACCTCTAAAAAAAAAAAAAAAAAAAAAGTTGTTGAAGGGAAAATGGCTACAATTTCCAAAAGACAGGACAAAATATGACAAGATTTGATCATTAAATGTTAACACATCGAGGCGAGTTGAACGATGAAGATGTTGGGACTAGAGACAGACAGTAGTGAGACCTGCTATGACACCAGGATGGACAGAACTGAGATCAGATCAGAGGGACAGTCAAGGTGGAGCAGTTTGGAGATGGAGTAGAGAGGTGGAGATGTTGGACAGAAGGTGGGGATGTTGGACAGAAGGTGGAGATGTTGGACAGAAGGTGGAGATGTTGGACAGAAGGTGGAGATGTTGGACAGAAGGTGGAGAAACGGAGGACGTTAGATGAAAGACAACATGGAGACGGTTGGTGTAAAAGCAGAGGAGGCAGATGATCCACTGTGGCGCCCCCTGAAGGGAATAATTAAATGTTGACAACAGATCAATAGTTCTCTGCTCTTGTATTTTACATCTTTTACATCTGTAAGAAAATGTCGACCGTTTCCTCTTTTTCTCCGTCACCTCAACACACCGTCAACTCTCTGTTGCCATCAATCGGCGCGGCTTTAGCTTCGGCCGTGTTTATCATTCACGCCTGTCCCCGAGGTGGAACTCGACCCTCATTAACCAGCTCTGTGCACAGGCTAAATCCTAACACTTGCGTGGGAATTGTGATGAGCACATCAACATTAGCATATTAGCATTCTTAGCGCTAGTTAACAGTCCGGCCGATCCCCTCTGTTAGTCCCACAGCAGCCTGTCAGCAGCAGGCTTTTCCATCTGCAGACAGACCGGCGCTCCCACTGGTGAGGGAGATTTACTGCGTCGGCTTTGATCAGATCAGCGTTTATACCTGTCCTCTGAGACAGAGACGTTCATGAAGGCCAGTTTAGTAAGTGTTTAATTGTAGTATTTGTTCTGTGCTTGTTAATACTGTCACTAGTACTGAAGTACTGACGACGTCATAGACCAGACTAGTCCTTTAGACTAGTCCTAGTACTCTGTGGCAGCACTTAGAAGACATTTTTGTGACCCACAATTATTTCTGATTTATTTTTGACTAACCCATTGTCAGAGTATTTTGCTAACGTTTACATTTCTACCAAAAAATGTTAGCTTTTTCCCGACTAACTGAGCAAAAACTTTAACTGTTTTTACATGTTTCGGCCTAACTTTACATCTATACATATACCATATATAAATATACATTATTAGTTTACCTAGGTATATTTTCACTTGGTGGTTTATTTGATCAGTCATTGTTACTTATTAACTTATTCATTTGTTGAATCTGTGTTCACTGTTTTCTTCACCTGATCTATGCAAACGTTCAAGTTTCCAGCAATTCCTCACAGAACAGAACGACTATTTTTGGCCGGACTGCTGCATTTTTCTTTTTACAAGAAAAAGGGGAGCGAGACAAAAAAAAAAAAAAAACACTCCTCTTGACAGAAATGTTGAACCGCAGCAGCCAGCTGTGAAGTGTTGTTCTGAAGGGGCTCTCACTGTACAACATGTGGTCGGCTTCCTTAAATCCAACTATTTGCGGCGACATAATTGCAGTCTAGACGTGCTGCTGTATCTGGAGTTACATCTGAATCTACAGATAATAAATCCACCGGCTCGCAGCAGCAGCAGCAGCAGCAGCAGCAGCACAGAGTCTGAAGGTGACGAAGAACACGGGCCGTAAATTGAAACGTCTCTCAGTGTTTGGTCTGATTTGGATCTGGACCCAAACGGTTCAGTCTTTTTGGAGATTCACGTATTACTTTTCTGGCTGAGATGGACGGGGAGATTACAAAGCACTCTGGTGTTTGTCTGTTACCACAGGCAGGGGGCGTTGGGCCGCCCCTCCACCCACCCACCCCACCCCACCCCTTCTCCATCCTCTCATCCAACTCCTGGCTGGAAGTCAAATCACTGTGCTTTTGTATTATGGGCTACAGAAAGTATTTTGTTTTCATTTTAAACGCCTGCTGGTATAAACCAAACCAAGTTCATAAAAATTGTTTTTTTTTTTTAACCTTTCACGTCTACAGTCTGACTGCACGTGCTCTGTTATGGCAGGTGTGATTATGCAGCCCAGCTGGGCCACATTCAGACTATTTGGGTATCACTGGATGACACACTACCACAAATCAATTCTATCATTTCCACCATCTTAGTCTTTGTCCCACAGATAGTTTTGCTAATTCTTTTTTAATGTTTCGACTTGGATTTATTGATTGATTAAGTCATTAATCTGTATCAGAAATCTTCAAATTTTGCTGAGTCAAACAGAGATAGAAAAACTATTTTGTTCAAAAGATTTTTTTTTGTAGATTTTCCCAGAACTTGGAAGTATGGGAGTATGTGGGCGTGTTGAGAAAAAAAACAAACTAAACCTAAGGTCCAGACAGTTTACAGCCAAACCACCCGCTTCACACCCGATTCTGTCCCATCTCCAGACAGGAAGGGTTTTATTTTCGCCTTCACAGCTGCAGAAATAGGACTGAATGGAGGATGAAGGAAGTGGAGGGAGGAAAATGTGTTTTCCATTCTTAGCTGACGGAGGAGTGAGGGCTCTGGGAAAGATCTGACACTGCATAGAGGAAGTTCATTACAGGGAATCTGAGCTTTTACTGGGCTGTGGGTTTTTTATTATTTAAAAAAAAAAAAAAACCAACAACACAAAAACAAAAGAACAACGTCCTAAAACTGCAGCACAGAATTGGCCATAATCAACAAAAAAAAAAAAAAAAGACTGTTAGGAACCATCACTTACAGCCTGGTGCCATGTTAATATTAATGAGTTTGTGCAGGAAACGAGACGATCAATTAAAAACCAACATCTAGAGAAAAAGATGTGTTTAACGAGTAAAACCATTCAGATCTTCAGTAAATAATGACAGTAGGTTAAGGCTGAAGGCAGCAAAAATTTAATTGTATTAATTTCGATGCTTTGTAATTAACAAAACATCATTAATCACTTTTTCATCAAACAGCGATATTTAGTCAATTAGCAACTTTGTTTGTTTCATCAGTTTTAATTAATTTGAAGAATTTTTTTGTCGTTCGTAGCTAACGTTAGCTCTGGTCTCTATACCAGGACTGTTGTAGCTAACGTTAGCTCTATCGGTTTTTACTTAAGTTATGATAAAAAATATATAAAAACAATTTTCCTCCACGAGCTAAACTAGTGGTTTCGGTTATGATAAAAAACATATAAAAACAGTTTTCCTCCACGAGCTAAACTAGTGGTTGGTTATTGTTATTTATTGCGTCACTCAAAGCATCCTGTTCATTTTCTTGGGCATTTGTTATTACCCCTCTGCCACCGAGAGAAGTATGAGTAAACGCCTGATGTTGTTCTTTAAAAAAAAATCATTCCTTGTTATTTATTACGTCACTCAAAGCATCCTGTTCATTTTCTTGGGCATTTGTTATTACCCGGAGATAAGAACATATAAAAACAAAGTTTTTCCACGAGCTAAACTAGTGGTTGGTTATTGTTATTTATTACGTCACTCAAAGCATCCTGTTCATTTTCTTGGGCATTTGTTATTACCCGAGAGAAGTATGAGTAAACGCCTTATGTTGTTCTTTAAAAAAAAATCATTCCGACTTTTTGGGTTTAAGTCCCAGCTACTGTTCATTGTTATTAGTAATGTACAACGTCTGTTACATTTTGTGAGTGGCGTGATTGTAATTCAAGTTAACGTCAGCTGCACCGGAACAATTCACCTTTTGTCACTGTATCACTGGGTGAAACATAAAGAGACAGACATCTACTGGTAGCCTCTGTCGTTTCCACGGCGTCGTAAATCTGATCATGTAAGTGAAAAGCCCATCCGTCCGTACGTACACCCCTGAGAGAAGTGTCGAGCAGCAAGTAGAGTCAAAGAGGAGGAGAAATGAGAAACATGTGTCGGTGATTTATCCTCAGATGACAAATACTGACGACTCCGCCGTAAATCGGACTCAACTTGGATTAAGTTGAACCTACAGAGGAATAACTTTATGTTGGGAGCAGATCGAGGGGACATGTTCAGCTGTCTGTCCACGTACTGTACGTCCCACTTTAAAGTACACACAGTGTGTCCCCGGGTGAATTAATCACCGATCCCTTTCTGGCCACATTAGGAGAAGTTGAATGTCGTCTCCTAAACACAAACAGGTCCATTATCCAGGCCGTCTTTGAAGCCCTGGACTCCGCGGACATGTCTCTTACACACTCAATGTAAAGGAGAAAGTCCATCAATCAAAGTGTCCCTTTGAGGCGCTATGAAAGGCTTGATGTTACGCAAACAGTAATTTGACTCATCCTACCTCCAAAGGGGGCCCCGGCCGTGGTGTCACGTTGTCTCCCGGCGTTGAGGTGCACAGCGGGGACCCGCGCGGCTCCGACCACAGCTCCTGCATCAATCTGGGTTTGTCCCCTTGTTTGGAGAAGAGAGGCCTAATGGGGAAAAGTGTACCACCTCATCAGTACCTCTCAGTGCTGCCATAATGGAGCATCCATGGTCATTAATAGAGTGCACCTCCCACCTCAAGGGTCTCCATTCAGTGTCTGTCATCATTCACGGCCATCACTTCCTCAGAGTTTAATGGTTTTGGAGCTCCCTTTTATCCCATTGTCTCTACGCCTCTGTGTCTCTTCCCCATTTAGGAGTCCAAACCAGAGGACAGGCCTGTTAGTCGGGCGTTGGTGCTGACCTCTGCTCCTCTGCACCGGAGACTCCTTCAGCTTTGTGTTGGGCCTCCACCCCCCCGACCCCCCTACACCTTTGCCAAGGCAGATCAGACCCCGGGTGGGTCAGGGAGAGAGAGAGAGAGAGAGAGAGGGAGAGAGGGAGAGCCCCTGGGGGTCCATCTCATTGTCTTCCCATTCACATCAGAGACAAGTGGCCCAGGAGTGGACATCAGACGCCGCGTTGAGCCACACACACTGAAGGGACAATGTCCACACAAAGTGACAGCTCCTGTTGGGAGAGGAATGCATGTGAATGGAGGAGGTTCAAAGACGAGCAGCGATGTGAGGACATGGGACATTTGATTGCCAAGAACTCTTTCTCCCTGGTCTGTCTCCTGATGACAGTCGGACACCACGGAGGAAGATTACAGTCAAACCCATTGGTCATAATGTAAAGGTCATGCTATGGCACAGCTAAAGCATTAGGGAAACATCCATAAGACGCTGTGCATCGGTTTGTCACCGAAGATTCTATAAGAGGTGTGGAAGTTTGTAAACGCCTACAGTCTCTGCCCTCTCCTACAGGGGGAGCTCTTTGATTAGTAAGAATTGCTAAGAGGTTGATTAAAATTATTCTGATGTTGTAACCACGGCCACATGATGGAATGTGCTTTACAACTAAAAAAGTGTGCAGGTTTGATCCCTGGTGGCGACCGAGGGTATTTCAGTACAGACTTACGTTTTCTACGGGTGAACAAACTCATCGTTGGCGTGAATGGTTTTTGGCGTAAATCTTCATTTTGTGGCTCACTGTTCATGTCGATGTAGAAGAGACAATACAGGCACAGAATGACACGCCTGCAGAGAGAGAAAAAACACCAGACACTAAATCAGTTTCATGTAAAAATGTCACCTGAAGTAGAACTTTCTAAAATTAAATGATTATTTTTTTATGATCAAAAAATAAAATTATGATAAACATTATTAAAGAGTTATGAATTTACTTCTTAATCTCAATAAAAAAACACTCTCTGCTTTCCAACATCATCAGGAGACTCGGTGTCTCCTCCTCTCTGTGCTTTAGGGGGCAGGAGAGAACCAGAGGAGCAGGGAGCGACCAGACCAGACCTCACAGGCAGGGCCGAGGGGTCGCAGCACGTCTCTGGCTGAGGTTAAGATTAGGAAGGAGCAGAGAGAGGGCACGCGGCCGTCCTCCAGAGCACGTTCCCGCCATGGCCCGGCGCCAGGAGCTGGGGATTAATGGACTCCACAGAGAAAAGCTCTGGTTTTGGCCAAGTCACCAGCAAATCATTTCTACACACTTTGTTGGTTTGTTGTTTTTTTTTTTGTTGTTTTTTTTAACCCAACAATGTTTAACGAAATGTATGCAAATCACGGTGTGAGGATTAACGTGGAGTGGTGTGAGCAAACTCGTGTCTCACTCATTTAATCACACATTCATTCAATTACCCTCTTGGACTCCTGGCAGACTTCACACGTATGAATATCCAGATGAAGTACTGCGTACTGTGTACACGTGTGTACACTAAAGCTGTGGCAATACTTTTACATTTAGTTTGGAGTTAGATTTAAAATTAGGGAATTTAGGAAAGGATTAGGATTAGGATTATGTCCGTGTGACGTGACCATTAAACACAAATAACAGTATGTGTGTGTATGTGAGTGTGTGTGTGTAATCTTGTGTATTTTCAGAGCGGGTGTGTCAGCAGCATATTAACCAGGCTGATCCTGACATTTCCTCATCTGTTCTCAAGTGGTGGTGAAGTGCGATGAGAGGAGCAGCGCCTCCTGTGGATCCATTGACAAACATCGCAGGACACACAGCTGTTTTTGTTAGCACGGTGGACGGCCGCTAATGCGGGTTCTCCCTGCTGAGAGTTAAAGGTGAAGCCTGAACGTCTGGAGCCTCAGCTGTAATCACGTCCACGGACCAAGACGACAGGAGAGAAGATAAGAGGCCGCTTCCTATTATCAGCTGTTGTGGCGCAGCAAGATGGAGACGAGTGATAGAGGAGCGGGTGGTGGAGAGGTGGAGGCTCAAGGTCCGCTATGAGTCATCTCATTCATTCTTCTTCTATCACTTACCGCTTTTTTTTTTATGGTCACAGGGGGAACGTCAAACCAATCCCATCAGTCATCACATGAGGGCGGGGCTACATCTTGGGGTGAGTCACCTGTCAAACTCTGGCCCAAACACAGAGACCAACAACTATTCACACTGATGTTTGGTAAAAGGCAGGATTTCAACCTTTTTTCAATTTACTAAAAAAACTGACTTACCCAGTGTTATAGCTGAGCCTGTTTAGTTGAACACCACGCTGATGTAGATGGAGGAATTGGAGAAAAAGCTGTTCTTCATCTGTTGATCTCTCACTAGGAAAAAAAACACAAGATCAGTGACAAGTTTTCTGTTATTTTTCTTATTTAGTTACATTTTTTCATCTTTAATTTAAAGCGTTTTCTTGCGTCGTTGTGTTTTCCAGTTTGTTGTCCACAACCTGCATTGATTTAAATATTTTTCTAATTAAACAAAGTCTTCATTTTGCAGTAAAAGTATATTTGTGGTTCACCACAGGGTATTTTTAACTGAAGGAAAATTTTTTAAAAAAATCTACATTTCTGTCCCTGCGTGTGGAACAAAGATTTTTTTTTGGGGGGTTTTTTTCTTTTCAGTTTCCCTCCAGTCTCTGTGGATTAAACTCCGAGGTGTCTCTGTGCACGCCCGCTAACCTCCCTGCCTCTCTTTCTCTGTTACCATGTCGACGTCATGGAATGTGTGAGGTCATCGCCCCAGCGCACTCTCTTACCTGGTTTCCATGGTAACCTGACCACAGCAGCTTCCTTCCTGCACATGTCAAATGATAAATTCAACGAAAGGCCTCACATGTACCTGGTAATCACAGCTTTCGTGCGTTTGACACTCAGCTACGATGGACAACAATAGAAGTACTCGACCTCAGACTCTTCAACAGTGCGGTTCACACACTGTGTCACAAACTGCTGCTGAGCCTAAAACATCTAACGTGTTCGACTAAAGGGCTGTCACGGCTAATTTTAGCTTTTTCTAAGCTAAACTTTTCATCTGTTTCTGGTTCAACTTCAACTTCTACGTGCATAATCTTTAACAAAACACTAACGTCTTCATTTCTTCAGAAAACTTTTTAAAATATTTTATTACCTTTTCTTTAAAATTAAGCTACCTTCCTATTTTACTAATTAGAAAATTTTTGGCTAATGTTTATAAGTAATGATAATGGACTAAATTGCTCATATTTCTGTATGTATTTGGCAACTTTTAGCTTTAAGCTAAATTCTCAAACCATATTTTTGATCACTTTTAGCAATATTTTATGGCCAACACTTTTGCTACTTGTGAGAGCAACTTAAATATCTTAAAGCTAATCCTAGCTTAGTTGTGCGCTAGGTATTTCTTTTTTATTTTAAAGACAACTGTGTTGAATCGTTGGCCTCTGTCAGGTTAGCTGGAGGTCACCTTTTAAGACAAAGACGTTTAGCCATACTTAAACGTGCACGTCTAACATTTGGACAACAATAGATTCCTCTCTGCTTCTCGTCTGTGCGTTTAAAGCATCAGCCTCTGTGGTTCTCGATGTCACACAGTACATTTAAACCTCTGAGGCTTTACGTTCAACACCTTTCACTTTCTACTACATCAAACGCTCAACGCTTGACATATTTTTGGCTGTGGCTGCAAGCATCAGGCCCAAGACGGTAAAAATGTGTTTGATCTGCAGACACACACAGGGGCCTCATCCTTTACATCAGGAACAATGTATGTCACAATAGACTTAGCAGTAAGTGGATTTCAGAGAAGTCTATCTGCAAATCAACACCTTCATCTGTTTGTTAGCAGAAAATAGAAGAAAAAAATACTGACGAAAATTTGAATAAAAAAGAGGGGGAACATTTTGTAAAATCAAGATTGTTTCTTTGTCTTTGTTGAATTTTTTTTTTTTAAATATTTCTGGGCCAACTTTTCGTTATCTTGTGGCAGTTTTAAATTATTTCTTCGTCCTTTCATACCGAGGCACACTGAGATTGTGTGTGCAACAGATGACCAGCTGAACATTTTTCCACTCTGTCAATATGTTCTGCAGGTGCATCGACTTCAAGAGCAAACTTGGGATATTTCTGGTGCATTTTTGACTCACTAATTCCTGACCCTGCTCTCCTCGGTCCCGCAGCCTGCAGGCAGAAACGATAAGCTCCGCACAGACTCTCTGACAATCGCACAAAAGGTTCCATGTCCAACTGCCTGCGGTCCAACTGTGCACACTGTGTACAGAGAGAAGTGGTGTACGGTGTGAAGCCACTTTACTCCCTCGGACTGACAAACAGCTGGTAATGGCAGTTAATCATGAACCTTTTTTCCTTCCCCGGCAGTCGAGCACACACCACGCGCTTTGACTTCTAATAACGCACGTGCACATTTTCCAGGCGCACGTGCACACGCTCGCGCCGCACATGGCCTGTTCGGCACCCTTCCCGGGCCTTATGGGTAACCGACGTGACGGCAAAGCTCCATGGCAACGGGAATGCTGGCCACTGCCTGTGCCAAGAGAGCAGCTGGTCCGTAGTGGCAGATTAGTCTCCAAACAGATTTGCAGCCAGTCAAGTAGAGTGTGGCCTTTAGCAGAGGAAGAAATGATAAAGAAGTGATTAGAGGCAGAAAAAAAAAAGAAAAGAAAGAAAAAGAAAACAAAGGAAGGATTGCAGAAAAACCAACTGAGAGAAGAAAGAAAGCTTGTCCTGGCTAATCTGCCAGATCGCTGGAGGTGTGGAGCAGAGAGAAAAAACAGTCAGGAAAAAAAAAAAGAAGCTGCAGGCTCTCGACGACAAACTACAGCTGAGTTTGTCCTGTTACCTGCTGTGATCCACTGCTGTGAAACCCAGTCAAATTAGCAGGTGCCCAGGACAAAATACCCTTGAAATGTCTGGATTTGTCCTTAAATTTTTCCAATAATAGAATCTTTTATTGTCCTTGACGTTTAGAAAATACTCAAAAATAAACTAAAATATGTTAAATAAGTTTAATGTAAGGTAATAAAATCCATAATTAGCGACACAACAGAAAATGGAAAAGCTTTCCTTTTAATTAAAGCAAAATTGCTAAAGTTGGTCAAAGAAAGCTGAAAATAGGCTAACAGTTAGCTAACGTACAGTTAGCACGACGATAACAAACAGCCAAGACGTATTTGATATATTTAAATTAGTCGTATCAGTGTGAGGTTCATGTTGATCACTGTGATCTTAGAATATTTAACATGTCGTTAAGACTTGTCCTCTTGTGTTAATTGAAGTTTTTTTTATTGAGCTTTACATTCGACCATCAGTTACACATTACAGTTGATGATCAAGTGCTGGTAACAGACCCACTCAGTGACCAAAGCTAACCCTGAAGCCTTGAAGCTAACCCCGCCCTCGTCTCTTTATTATCACGTAATTCTAACTGTAATAATCTGACAACAAACGGCCCACATCCTCCCTGAATCCATACATTTGCGGTTGTTTTGACAACTTTAACGAGTCGTGTCATAAAGGAGACGTTTGTCACGTTGACACGTCGTGATTTCAATTCATAATGTTTGCGTGTCTGCAGAGTTAAGCGTTTACGGCAGTGGTTTTATGTCCGCTATCGTTACGGTTTACAGCCTTGGAAAAACAGGAGGAGAGCTAACGAAAGACGGAGACGTTGTATCCACAGTCTGACTGCTGACGTTTTCAACCTCAGAGGTTTTATGTCCATGATGTGTCAGTGAACGGGTATATGGTCTGATTTAAAGACTCTTTATGTGAAGTGAGATTGAAAATGAACTCCAGTAATCTGGAAGTTTTAGCTATTTCTCATCTAAACATATTTTGGCTAATTTAGCGCTGGTGTTCGCTAATTTCAAGCTAATTTGTGACTAAATTTGACGTAGTTAGATCGTAACTACTAACTGCTTGACTAACATGTAGCCTTTTAAGAAAACCTTAGGCATCTTTAGCATTTACCCAGTTTATATATCTGAAGAAAAAGGTTATTTTTCAAGTATTGGTCAAAACGATATGCTAATATTTGGTTATTATATTTTGTATTTTGGCTAACCAATACTTTTTTTTTAAGTTAATATTTGACAACTTTTATGATAAAGTAATGCGCTTTTTTTAAAAACTATTTTTAGAATGCTTTTGTTCCCTTTTAGTCATTTTGGGTTGCATTTAATAAACATTAGGTCTAATTTATGCAAACCTTTAAATTAAATCTTTAATATTTAATCACTTTTACAATTCTTACAACTAATATTGTATTGGTTTATTTACAAAGTAACTTTAACTAAAAAAAGTTTTTGACCCACATCCAGATGATTTAAACATCTTTTCAGACCTCTGTTATGGTGGGGTTTTTTTTATGCCGTTACATTATTATCCCCTGGATTATTAATAATAAAACCACAGGAACTAAAGTTGCACGGCTGCTCCTACTGCATTGGTCTACAGACTCCATTATCACTCAACGTAGGTCCAATCGTCACATTTGTTTACTCTGAGCAGCTGCAGAATTCCCAATCCAGCCTGACTCAGGAATATCCGTCCTCGCTAACAAGCCTGCGCTTTCCGCAGCGTTCATCATGTTAACACTCCACTGCACCTCCCTGCTCCAGCAGCTCCTCACTCACAGAGGAGATCTACCGGGAAGGTGATGATAAGAGCACGACGTGGTTATAAATACAGCCGAGGATGAGCAGGTGATAATTCACCGCGGTTGTTCGTTCAGACGGAAATCAAAGACACCTTGACACGACAATCGTCTCAGAGAAAGAATCGACCCTCGTGTCGGCCTGACACCAGCGCTGACCATGTGTCAGCTTATAGAAAGATAATCACCCGTCACGCTGAGGAGCGACGCGTGCGTGGGATGAAAACCAGCTCAGGATTAGGCAGGATTTGAACCCCCAAATGAACAATTAGGAACAAGTCCGGGCATGTCGGGGCGAGTGCCCCCACTGCCATCCCATCAGTGGGTGAGGATGAAGTGCAGCATGAATTCACAGACTGTTAGCGGTTTGAAGCAGCAGCAGCAGCTGTCTGGTGCAGCTGTCCGCGGATGCAGCTTCAGAAACGAAAAAAAAAAAAAAAGAGAGAGAAAGAAAAAAGGAAAATAAACAGAACAAGTCAAAAAAACTGAGGAATCAGACAAGGCTGTCAAGTTTTTTTTTTTGAACAACGTGACAGGATTCCTAGATGGATTACTGAAAGAGCTCACAGATACAGGATCAGGCTGTGGGGGGGAGGGGTGTGGGAGTGGGGGGGCGACCCAGGGTTCAGATTTCTGCTGGGGAAGTCAGTCAGTTGATGAAATGAGACAATAGGAACTCAAGAAGAAGGAGAAGGGGCTGCAGGAATTCACCACTAAGATTGACATGGATAGAAAGATTTGGAGTCCGGTCTCTCGGTGTTTGAAGCTCCTGCGTTAAAGAACCATCAGATGGATTACCAGGGAGACCACAGCCAATAATTATTATCCTGCAAAAACTCATAAAAGCATCCACACCGGTTGCAGCTCCGTCAGACCGACCGACCAATCAGTGTGAGCGTCTCACTGATGTGCAGAAAGTACAGGCAAAAAACCTTGACAAACCATTAAAACCAGTCGACTTAATCAGCCTGAGCCTGAACACACCACTGTAAACCAGTCACTGCACATCAACTCAAAATGTAAGATTAAAAAAAATAAAATAATGGAATACCACATGGAAACACTAGGGTGAAATGAAGCAGCGTTTCTTCAAAGTCTGCTCTTGTGTAATTCCGCAGCCTGAGAGTTTTTCTCCGGGCCTCACGGCCTAATGAAAGAGCTTATAGAGAAGCTGGAGGGAAGAAAATGCTAATTCCAGACATTAGGGTCTTCAACCAACGACCAGAGAGGTGACGACAATGGCACTTGGTCTTAGAACGCACGGAAGAGAAAGGAACAAAAAGGTAAAGAGGAAGTAGAAATGAAATAATCAATAAAAAGACAAGATGATAAAAGATGAAAAGAATGATAAAAGGATGATGAAAAAAGAAAAAGAAATGAAATAATCGATCTCTCAGTCGAGCCTGGAGCTCCGTGAGGGGAAAGAAACTGGTGTTGGTTCAACAGTTTTCTGTCGTTTCACAGCTGGAAGACGGAGCAAAGTGAGTCACCGTTTGTTTGGAGGCAGAGAAAGTGTTTTTTTATTTCACCTGAAGGCGTCGGTGTGAATGTTTTCACACCACGTGTGACGCTGTGTGAAGTTTACATTTCTCTCCGTGAGGCTGTGCTTCTCATGTTCACTTCATCAAAGCTGTGAGGAAACCATTTCAGGCAACCAATCGCGCCGTTTAATGACTTTTGTCCAAATGTTTTCCCACTTTGTCCACATTCAACAATAACATCCAGCCAGGAGCCAACGGCTCCTCCTGTGGTATATACACTGTATAATTAAACCTCATGCAAATGATGGGCAATTAACCGCCGTCAGTGTAGAGCAAAACAAAGGCTTTGTTAAAATTAGAAATGTTTTAAATTAGCCGCAGACTAATAATAATAAGACCATGACAAAAATTAAGCCCGAAGTTAAAGAGAATTTACATAAATATCACAAGGAACATTGAACACAACAAATCACAGGAAAACTTAACCGTAATCACCTGGGATCAAACAGGTGACCTTTTTGCTGTGAGGCAGGAGCACGAACCACTCTTACACTACGTGGCCAAGAAGGGCGTGACCCACAATGGGGCCCAGAGCCAGATTTTGGACAGATTCTATAATTCAAAAAAAGAATGACTTTCACCTCCACCACGCTGATGGTCCGCACAGTGAGATTTTTAACCAACCCTGGGATTCGGGAATCAAACCCAGAACCTTCTGCATTTCAGGTGAGAACATCGCCGCTGTCTACCCTCCAAAGATGGTGTTCCAACAAACTTTATTAATTGAATTAGTCTGTACTGGATCTGCTGGTTGTTGTAAGCCAATGGTTCCCAAAGTAGGGGGCGGACCCCCTACAGGGGCACATGAACGGAGGTGTCGTAGAAACGTCAATGTTTTAAAGCTAAAGCTCTGAATGTGTCAACGTGGGAGGAGACGGGGGGGCTATCACATGAAAAAAAACTGCTGTAAGGCAAGAGCACTTACCGCTTTTTCCACCGTGTGGCCCCTACATTACTGATCACTGCAGTCACTTAACGAAGCCGTTCTACGTCTGCGTCTGCGTCGAGGAACGGAGGAGAAGTGGTTTCTCTTCCTCTGTCAGAAGAAGAAAAAATGAAACTTCTGTGAGAGTCGAATGAGAGACGGAGAATCAAAACCACATTGTTCTCCACACAGAACGGGTAAAAACGGGACGACTAATGAAAAAGTGGGCAGTTTTTGTTCATTTTTTCCACCCCGGCTGTGGTACCTGTGTGTGTGTGTGTGTGTGTGCAGAGAGAGAGTTTCCACAGAGTGTAATTATACATTCATCTGAACCAGTGTGTGGTTTTCTGTGAAGTGGGAGAGAAGTGAAGAAGTGCAGGCTGCGTGGTTTTTTCTGCAGCCGTGGTTAATGGATAAACAATAAACTACATTCTTCCTGGGCTCCTTCGTCTTCGTCTTCATCTTCGTCTTTGTCTCTGTCTCTGTACTGACGTATCACCCTCCCTGTCCTCCCCTCTGTAATGTCTCCCTGCCCTCTTCCCTTTGACATGGCTTTTAACTGAGTCGTATCATTAAGGAGTCAAGAGCATCTCAGTTGTGCCTGTGAGGTTTCCCTTCTCTCTTATATAACCATCTTCCCGTCGGCCTCTTCTGCCTTTGGCAGCTCCAGCTCCAGCTCCAGCTCCAGCTCCAGCTCCAGCTCCAGCTCGGGCCTGTGTTTTTGGCTCCTCTCCAGCTCCAACAGAACCCACTTTGTCCTGCGCTCCGTCTTTGGCACCAGCTGTTGGTGCACGACTTGAGCAGCTGACTCCTTTGTTTCACTTACACCCGGCGTTTTCTTCTGACATCACTCTCTTTTCCCCCTTGTTTTCTCATCAGTTTGATGTGTTTTTTTTTCTTCCTCCTTTTCTTTCCTCCTTTGTGTCTAAATTTCGTTGATAGTTTTTCCAGCCAGTCTTTGTGCAGCGGAGGCTGTTAGCGCCGTGATGTATGAGAGCAGCTGACGTCCACCTGCTGCCCAGCAGTCAGTCTGCTGGGTGTTTTCCGAGCGACGCCATTGGCTGCGAGCGGCCTGGTATGAATCGGTCACCAACCGCCACACCTGTCCCCGCTTCCTGTAAGACACCGGCCGCCGCAGCCGCGGCTGCAGGAGGGTCATTAACCAGAGTGACTAATGAAGCTTTAATTCTGTTTCTTCCACAGCGCCAACAATGTGTCAGCAGCCGGACGTTCGTTAATATCTTCATAAAAGACCACCGCCACTAAAGCCGGATTAAGTGGGTATTTATGAGGGGGGGGCGGGGGGGGGGCAGGAGC